TATCAGTCGTTGCCTCGCACACCTAAATATCCTGGACAAAAACAAACATCCATGATCTTCTTTAGATCTGGGTCTTATCAAGTGATACAAACTACTCTGCACACATGACGCCAGTTTCACTTTTCTGAAGCACACTCCTTGAGTCTCTGACGTTGTGCGCGAGGCTCTCTGTTTTCAAGCATTGCCCATTATTTTCAATAAAACCCCACCCATTCTTCTTCTCTCTCACCACGGATCCGACTGTGTATATTAGGATGTCACCTGGGCGTGAATTTTCCTTGACCAGCTTTTGCATTGTATCCATTTCAGGCACTCTCGGTCCAAGGTAACTATCACTTTGTTGCAAGTCTGTGTTGCTGGGCGGCACTATTAATCCTTTGTCACCATGTGCTATCTTGTCAGTAAGATAAACAGTTCTGATCGTGACTTCTGCCTGTGGCATCCAAGAGTGTTCTCAACAAGACCAAATCATTTTGTGACCTTCCCTTCAACAAAATAATAAAACATCGTTGCTTTTCATTGGAAATTTGGTATCTGTACAAATATCGATATGCCAATGTCGCTTGTGATGCTGTAGGACATTGTTCGTAAGTGTACAGTTGTACACGCATGTCAGGGTGAATGTTCGGTCTAGCTAGTTCATCACACTGCAAACCTCGGCTGAAATTAGTTGTTTACATTGAGTGCTCACATTGTCCCGTCTGTGTCCCGGGCACCCATTTTGTGGAGTAAATTAACAGTGCAGAAGCACAGATGGATCATCATGGTCTGAACGGGACCTTATAAGCTGCCCCTGCTCAATACCACACGGAGAACCGAGACACGGGCACAACTACTCATTGCCATAGATTTTCTGGTAATTATTGGTTTGTTTATGATTTTTGGCATCGCCTGTGACATCGTTATTATCCAGTGGCCCAAATGGTGAGCTATCCACGAGAAAGAGAATGCTGAAGCTAAAGGATACACTGTAAATGGAGAGGAGGATCGGAAGACTGAGCCCCTTCTAAGTAATGATGCATTGACAAAGTGCTGGAATAGCCCACATGCCTCTATACCCAGCTGATTCTGACCCTTTCTGTGTTCACCAATGAAGCCGGGGTCCCGGAGACCAGGCAGCCTTCAGGGTTCGTCAGTGCCATACATGGCTTCCGGTTCCTCAGTATGTGCAGGGGAATCTTGGGACATGTCTTTGCCTTTAGGCTGGGACAGTTTGAGAATTTGGTTTCCGAGTTGCCTGTTTTGATAAGGCGATGGAGCTTTGAATGTCGTTTGCCATGCTTTGGAGTCAGTGGATATATTCTTAACTCTCAGTGGCCTGTCAACTACTTCCATGGCACTTAATGAGATGAAGAAGCAAAGGTGGGACATTAACTGGCCACTGTACTGGTCCTGGGTCTCATGCAGTTCATGAGATCTGGAACCTTGTGTATCTGGTTCAACCTGTAGATATGGACAACTGCGGCAGGTACTGGTCGACAAATCGCTTTTATGTCAACAATTTCCCAAGTGCTGAGAAAATGACTATGGGTTATACCTGGATAATGATATGCAGTTCTTCATTGTTAGCCCCTTGAAGATGACCCAATTCTACTTCAATAGTGTTATCGGCGATGGCTATCGGTGTGTGCTTCCTGCTATCATTCGGGAATGTTCTGTTAACTGCTGCCACCCTCAGATCCTTCCATGTTTGCCCCAAAATTATTAATCTCCTTAAGTATTTCCTTTTTTTTTTTTTTAGAGTTTTCGTTGTTAAGTTCTACCGCTGCAAATTTGCATTCTGCAGAATGAACATACCAAGGATAAAAATTAGGCAGGTGCACAATCCCAGAAACCTATTTCAGTCATACAGTACTCTTTGTATTTGAGCATCACAAAAGGGTTACAGAGTAACATGGAGTTCAGTGTCGGTGGGATTTCTTGTGTGTGACAAGGATTTTTAGAGCTCCCGCATCTCTTTCATATTGTGTTTCTCTCCCTCTTCTTTTCATTCTTCTTCTCTATTTTTTTCTTTCTCTCACTCCCTTCTCTATTCGTCATATCCTGTATCAGTGTGCTTCTCACCTCATGTTAACTGGAATTTGTTAGTTTTGTCCCACAGATTGATGTTGGTGATTCTGTCATGCCATTTTGATTTATGTGGTCTACTAAGGCACGAATTAAAAAATATTTGCAGTAGATTTTGATCAGTGATTGTTATGCCACATTATGATGATTATTTGCTGTATCCAGTATCAGAATGGTTCCCTTAATGTCAGTTCGCAATTCAAAGTAACTTTACTACTACAGAATTACATCATGATTATTGTGCACCTAAATACACAAGGATCAAAGAGATCCAGGGCTGCAGATGTCTGATCTTTCGTGCAGTGGAGCACACCAGCTGTTCTGCCTTGAGAGCTTGGTCTAGCCCTATGAGTGCTTGTACCTATGGGGTTAAAGGGGCATACTTAGGTCGTAAGTCCTTTGATCAAGAAAACCCGTCTACAGTCGAGACCGTTGTGCATCACCAAAGAGGTACAAAACATAGCAGATCTATAGGAGACAACCTCGATTTAAAAAAAATCTTTAAGCCTACGGTGGACCTACGTGCCCATGGGCTGAACGACTGTGGGTTATACAGTCGTGAACGTGGAACGTCTTGTTAGCGGATTGGGCCGCGCCAATGCGTATAGACTCCGTGAGGACATACATTGCCTATTCCCTAGCAGGCAGGCAATACTAGGGTGACCGTTTACTTCCTGCATTTAAAGAATATTTTCTATGGACTTTGCACTTAATAATAAAATGAATCATCGTCGGAGGTACGGAGTGCGTGCTCTGTGCATGATACCACTTTCACGTGGAAACGAAGAGAGTGGAAAAAGGAGAAGAGGCAATGGAGAGAGAATAAGACCTAGACATAGGGACCGGAGCCTGAAGAGTAAGGCGAAGAACGGATCGTTTGGGTTTAAAGCATATTAGAGTGGGTTACTGGAATAGTCGTAGTGCTAAGCAGAGAGGACCTGTACTGGGAGACATCATCATGCTGTAGGATTAAACACTGAAATACATGAGTGTCCTGGATACATTAGGTGTAACAATCCTACCTGACAGGGAAGACTTGGACATTATCTGCTGGTGAAGAATGCAGTCAAGCAAGTGGTTCTTGGCATGGGCCAGTGGAATCATAGTACACTAGAGGTTCAGGGTATACAATAGATAATGGGAGAACAACCTGCAATTTAGTGAATGTTTACGCTGCTGTTGAATCTCTTGTCACAAAGAAACATTGGGACTGGCTCAAAGAGTTAGAGGAAACCCCGGATAATAGGTTTCTCATTTGTGGGAAGTTTAATGCGTGGAACAGAGCATGGGACAGTAGTGGGGAAAAGAGACAAGGAAATGTTTTAGCAGAGGCTTTGGTGCTTGCAGACATAGTCTACATAAACGACGGAGGGGCCAACTAGAATGGTAAATAAGACGTGGTGAGGCAGACACGGCCATTGATTTGGCTTTCGTTACCGCGTCACTAGAGTACTGGACACAAAATGGAATGTCCTAGGCGATCATTGGAGTGACCATTTTTCATGCGCAGTCTTGATTTCTAAAGCTAGTAAGATCAGGGTTTCGAAAACGCGCAAGATTTTTAAGTGTGAGAGAGACAATACCCTTCTTGGACGCCTTCGACAGAAAGTGTGCAGCAGAATCACCATCTCAGCTTTTATGCAGCCTCCATGGTGGGACCCAAGAAGTAGAACAGGCGGGAGAGCAAAGCGAGCAGCAGTTAAGCAAATACAGACAGTGCGAAATGCACCTCACGGGGTACAAGATGATTTAGAGAAGCTAAAAAGAGATAGAAAAAAAAAAGTTAAGAGTTCAAGCGGTGTGCAGCAGATGAAAAAAAAAAAAAAAAGCTAAATGGGAACATTTTTGAGCAAAATTGGAGAGGATAAATCCAGGGGGTAGGTTTAGGAAACTTCAGACAGATGCAAAGGAAGGATCGGCCCATCACAACAGGCATTATACACATTGATAATGATAAGCCAATGACAACAGACAAAGAGAAAGGAAACTTTTTTTAAAGAAATATTTATATTCCAAACTGATTAAAATGAAAGGGAGCTTAGGAATTCCCGTTAATTTGTCCAATACTAAAAATGATAACTATTTTTCAGGATATCATTGGAGTGGAGGATATAAATTATGTATTGCAAAGAAACAAGACACATTCAACAATCAGCATTCAACATCCAACACTCCATCCAAGCCCCACCTCTTTATAGTCTCTGTCGCCAGCTATCACCTACGGCTCCATTCAAAAGGCGTTCCCTGTCCGTTGTGACTTTCAGCTATATTTTCGCCTGTAAACCTTTTATCTGTCATGTACAGATGTCAATGGAAGTGTAAGCCTCATGCACACAACTAGCGTGTCTCGTGTACATGGACACAATTAGCGTGTCTCGTGTACATGCACACAATTAGCGTGTCTCGTGTACATGGACACAATTAGCGTGTCTCGTGTACATGGACACAATTAGCGACTGTCTCGTGTACATGCACACAATTAGCGTGTCTCGTGTACATGGACACAATTAGCGTGTCTCGTGTACATGGACACAATTAGCGTGTCTCGTGTACATGGACACAATTAGCGTGTCTCGTGTACATGGACAAAATTAGCGTGTCTCGTGTACATGGACACAATTAGCGTGTCTCGTGTACATGGACATAATTAGCGTGTCTCGTCACATGCCACACAATTAGCGTAATACTGTACATGGACACAATTAGCGTGTCTCGTGTACATATACACAATTAGCGTGTCTCGTATACGTGGACACAATTAGCGTGTCTTGTGTATATGGACACAATTAGCGTGTCTCGTGTACATGGACACAATTAGCGTGTCTCGTGTACATGGACACAATTAGCGTGTCTCGTGTACATGGACACAATTAGCGTGTCTCGTGTACATGGACATGCATTAGCGTGCTTTTATGAGTGCCATACGACGCAAGAGAGTGTCTAGAGCATATTCCAAATTATAAAGTGTATAGAGCGTATAGTATTCTTATAGAGCGTACAGAGCTTAAAGAGCGTATAGAGCTTATAGAGTGTATAGAGCGTATAGAGCTTATAGAGCGTACAGAGCTTAAAGAGCGTATAGAGCTTATAGAGCGTACAGAGCTTAAAGAGCGTATAGAGCTTATAGAGTGTATAGAGCGTATAGAGCTTATAGAGCGTACAGAGCTTAAAGAGCGCATAGAGCTTATAGAGTGTATAGAGCGTATAGACCTTACAGAGTGTATAGAGCTTATCGAGTGTATAGAGCGTATAGACCTTATAGAGTGCATAGAGCTTATAGAGTGTATAGAGCGTACAGACCTTATAGAGTGTATAGAGCTTATAGAGTGTATAGAGCGTATAGAGCTTATAGAGCATATAGAGCGTAGAGAGTGTATAGAGCATATAGAGCATATAGAGTGTATAGAGCGTATAGAGCTTATAGAGTGTATAGAGCGTATAGAGCTTATAGAGTGTATAGAGCGTATAGAGCTTATAGAGCGTACAGAGCTTAAAGAGCGTATAGAGCTTATAGAGCGTACAGAGCTTAAAGAGCGTATAGAGCTTATAGAGTGTATAGAGCGTATAGAGCTTTTAGAGTGTATAGAGCGTACAGAGCTTAAAGAGCGTATAGAGCTTATAGAGTGTATAGAGCGTATAGAGCTTATAGAGCTATAGAGCGTATGGAGCTTATAAAGCGTATAGAGCGCATTGAGTGTATAGAGCATATTAAGCGTATAGAGCGTATGGAGCATATAGAGTGTAGAGAGCATATAGAGCGTATATAGTGTATAGAGCATATAGAGTGTTTAGAGCGTATACAGAGCATATAGAGTTATAGAGTGTATAGAGCATATACAGCGTATAGAGAGTATAGAGCGTATAGAGCGTATAGAGCGTATAGAGAGTATAGAGAGTATAGAGCGTATAGAGCATATAGAGAGTATAGAGAGTATAGAGCGTATAGAGCATATAGAGCGTATAGAGCGTATAGAGCATATAGAGCGTATAGAGTGTATAGAGCATATAGAGTGTATAGAGAATACAGAGCATATAGAGCGTATGGAGCGTATAGAGCATATAGAGCGTATAGAGCATATTGCGCATTTAGAGCGTATAGAGTGTATAGAACGTATAGAGCATATATAGTGTATAGAGCGTATAGAGTGTAAGGAGCATATAGAGTGTATAGAGCTTTTAGAACGTACAGAGCGTATAGAGTGTATGGAGTGTATAGAGTGTATAGAGCATATAGAGCGTATAAAGTGTATAGAGCGTATAGAGCATTTAGAGCATATACAACGTATAGAGCGTATAGAGTGTATAGAGTGTATAGAGTGTATAGAGCATATAGAGTGTATAGAGCGTATAGAGTGTATAGAGCATATAGAGTGTATAGAGCGTATAGAGTGTATAGAGCATATAGAGTGTATAGAGCATATAGAGTGTATAGAGCGTATAGAGTGTATAGAGTGTATAGAGCATATAGAGCGTATAGAGAATATAGAGCGTATAGAGCGTGTGGAGCGTATAGAGTGTATAGTGTGCATAGAGCGTATAGAGTATATTGAGTGTATAGAGTGTATAGAGTGCATAGAGCATATAGAGTGTATAGAGCGTATAGAGTGTATACCCAATGTGAGAGAATAGCGAAGATGCTGCACCTTTAGACTTTACCATAAAAAAAACACTGGAAAAACGAAATGTATCAGATGCTTGAATCAAAGATCAGTAAAGGAATCTTTGAGACTCTTCAGGCGTATTTCACATTTAGGGCTAGACCTGTAATTTATAGGCCAATCGTCCCTTGGTGGCAAGTGTGGTCAGTATCACGCTGGCCGGATTTTTTTTGTCAGGCTGTACCTGGTCCCCATTTAAATCTGGGTCGACCTGTGAGCTTAGGTGATTTGGGAGGTGGGGGGGGGGGGGGTGTCCGGCTTCTTCAGGACCCGAACCCACGACCTTCCAATCCGCAGGAGAACCTCTAGCCGCTACACCACCCAAATAAAATATTTCAACGCTAAAATCAAATAAACACAAAACGCTATAGCATTCTTCACAGTAGTTGACTACAGTGATACATGTAACAGAACAAGACACATTTTGCCTGAAATCTCCAGATCTAACACAACCATGAACAACAGCTCGCTGGTGTGTGTTGGAAATACCTTCGACAATGGGTCAGTGACACGAGAGTAAGACACACCTGTGGTCATTGCAGAATTTCTCTAGTCGCAATGTCATTAAAAAATCACATGTTCACACGAGCCTATTTTAGAAGTAATTAGTAAATTGTAACTGCATTACAATCTTCTTCTACTTCTGCCTTTCTATCCCCAATGGAGCATACTCCCTCAACCAACTCACGCCAAGTCGTTCTATCCTTCGCTATTGCATGAAGCTCTTCCCATGTCCTCCCCATCTTTCTAACTTCATTCTCCAGCTCTCTTCTCCATGTGTTTTTTTACTTTCCCCTTACAGCTTTCTCCACACCATGTCATACTACTTCTATTTGAAGAGCCTCCCGTCATCTTGGTTGGCTGGGTTTTAGTTGCTTCTCTCTTTGACTTCAACCTCAAGCCCAACCCTAGCCTTAGTCGCCTCTTACGACATGCCTGGTAGGGTGCAGTGTCACTATTCTTTGCTTTCCGTAAGGGCCCTGGTGACACACAGTCTAATTATACTTCTTATTAAATTACCAGCCACCCCAACTTTTCTGCAAAAAAGACTAGACTGACGAATGTTTGAAAAGAATAATACATAAATTGTCGACTGCATATATCCAGCTGACAAGAATGTTTGGTTGTTACACATAAACGATATTTGTTGCTGTCATTATTATTACATGCTGTTTCTAGTATTAAAGAATTCTGTGCACTAATGTACTTTCAACTAATGCAGTATGTCCTCCATACATTGATACTTAATCCTTGCTCTTCTTCAAACTATTGCAAATTTGCAAATAGCTTTCAACAACGATCACTTATATCGTCGCTTTTCAATTGCTTGGTAAAACGTTTATGCTGTAACCTGAGGCACAACCTTGTTTAACCATCTTGAGACATCGACAAGTGATATTTCCTTTTTTCTCATGTGAAGCTAGTCGATATTTCAGGTCACTAAACACACTCCAACCTGTTTCAACACATGCATCTGCTTTCAGTTACCGTAGCATGTTTCTTAGTTGTACCTTCGTCTTACAAAAATCGTGTTTCGACATGATCATCAGCTTCATTAGCATCATCACCATTAGGTGCCTTGCTCGGTATTGCAGATACATATATCACTGCTTCTAGCAGATAGTGGTAATTAATAATTCAGCTGTTTCAGCCGTTTTCAATGTACTATCGGTGTTTACTATTGGCTTTCTTGTATAAAAAAATGTTTCTTGGTTATCAATGGATTGTGTCTGCTTGTTTACCTATAAACTAGGTTTACAAAGTACTCGTTATTTAACAAAATTACGCCTAGGCTTGTTTTATTCTTGTGTATTTGTGTGAGATACTACCTGTATGATATTATGAGATTGCTTAAATACTTAACTGTCTGTCTGTAAACAGCAAGTAATTATTAACATAACACTTCTTATGCATTTTACAATATATGTTCTTAGCTTCATATGTGTTTCTTCATGGTTCTATCTTTTCGCCTCGGTCAATCTGGTGAATTTCATCTACAATGTCTAAAGAAAGCGGAAGCATTTCTGAAGAGATTTATAACCTACACAGATCATTTTGATAGGGAGCTTAGAAATTTAGAGATAATGTCTTATACTATAAATAATTTTCAAGACATCATAAATGTATCGATACCATGCATACATACATACATACATACATACATACATACATACATAAATACATACATACATACATACATACACATACATACATACATACATACATACATACATACATACATACATACATACATACATACATACATACATACATACATACATACATACATACATACATACATACATAACATACATACATACATACATACATACATACATACATACATACATACATACATACATACATACATACATACATACATACATACATACATACATACATACATACATACATACATACATACATACATACATACATACATACATACATACATACATACATACATACATACATACATACATACATACATACATACATACATACATACATACATACATACATACATACATACATACATACATACATACATACATACATACATACATACATACATGCATACATACATACATACATACATACATACATACATACATACATACATACATACATACATACATACATACATACATGCATACATACATACATACATACATACATACATACATACATACATACATACATACATACATACATACATACATACATACATACATACATACATACATACATACATACATACATACATACATACATACATACATACATACATACATACGTAAGAACGTATATTTATACATACATACTGAAAAATGTGCCGTGTGAAACAGAACTGCTAGTATCACTGAAAACTTGACTTTGGAGTAGACAGCCGACAACTGGTTGAGATTAAGAAGGGTTTCTAGGATACCAATCCTTAAATGAAAAATAGGAAAACTTATGGAAAATTACCATGTGACCACCACATCGCACATCCAGTGATGCCAACAACTGGCAATTACTGCCTTCATTTTACCACCTTTTGTTTTTGCGGTGTTGGCAGGGGGGTCTTTTGCCCTAAGCATTTACGGCCGCATGGCTAGTGTTGTCGCCACTACTGTGCAGGTGAGGTTTTTGTTTGCACCCGACAGACAAATCCTTAGCCTTACCGAGGATTTGAACCTGGGTCTTCCCCCCTGAGAGCCCAGCGTTCTAACCGTTCGCTGGAATGACTACAAACTATAGACGTACTTGTCCAAAATGTCAAAAGCAAACGGATTGGATTAGACAGACATCATATACTCGTGATGTAAAAAAAAAAAAAAAAAACTCAGTGTTCTACTACGTTTGCTTCTTAACGATAAAGTTGAACAATAAAGTTATCATGTCGATCTAGAAGAATTGATATACACGGAGATACATGGCATTGAAACAGTGTGTATTGATACATGAACAGTGAAACAGTGTGTATTGATACAGGAACAGTAAAACAGTTTGAACAATGAGCAGTGAAAGGTCCGTGTCCCAGAGTTTACAGCTGGTGAACCCGAAGAAGAAGAGAAAGAAATCAATAATGGCTCGTCTTCTAACGTTACTTTGTTCTAAGTAAAGGTCAGAAATATAGCAGACCAAATATTTGTTGTAGAATGTCGGCAATGCGTTATAAAAAGAATAATGCAACATTTGTGTCTGCGAAATTATTGTTATCAAATACAAGAGTGTCATCTTCTTATTCTAAGCCAAAAATAAATTTCGTAACAATGAAAGCGAGCTCTAAATCTCTCGGCAGCCTCACTTTGAACTTCGACAAATGTCACATCAGGTCGGGTCTGAAAGGTAGTCATTGTTCCCTGCAGCTTGATGACTGTTGGAAAAGATGTTTAACCTGTATGTCATGTAAATCTATAATAGCTCACTGCCAGGGATGTCATCAGATTTGTTCTCGTCAACATTTCTTCGCTACTTTCCACTGCGATTAGAGGAATCGAGCTCCTTTGGAAT